TAAAACATCTTAAGGAATATGTGTTGTTTATAAGAAACACATCTAAAAATTCAGTTTGAATGAAGGATGGAAATAAGATATATACCATATGGAGATACATCCAAAAATAATATGAAGAAATTGAAAACAAAAGGATGACAAAAGGATGATTTACCAAGCACATACTAACAAAAGAAAGGTAGAGAAGTTATATCAGTATCTTCAATCTCACTACTAATCAAAGAAATGAATATTAAGGATATAATACACACCTATCAGATGAGCAAAACTTAAATGTTCAGTCAATACCAAGTTTTGTCAAAGATATACAACAACAAGAGTAGGAATATAAATTGGTAAGTCCACACTTAAGAAGTGTGGCATTATCTAATAAAGCGGAAATCTGCAAGTCCTGTAACCCAGTAATTTGCCTACTACTTGTATACTCTTAAAAAATCTCCTGTATCTATGTACTAGGATAGTTGTAAAGGATGGGTCACAGCAGCTTTATTTATAATAACTGGTATGGTCTGCGTAGCTTCCCCCAAGTTCATGTGTTCAATACAACAGTGTAGGGAGGGGGGCCTAATAAGTGTTGATATAAGGTTATTAGGACTCTGCCCTCATGAATGAAGTAATTGACACTATTGCTGGAATGGGTTTGTTCTAAGTTCAGCCCCCTCTTGCCCTCTCTCATTTGTGCTTGCTTGCCCCTCTGTAATGCTATGAGACAGCAAGAAGACCCTTATCATATGCGGCTCCTTGCTCTTAGACTTTTCAGCCTCCAGAATCATGAACCAAATAAACTTCTGTTACTTAAAAATTACCCAGGCTGTGGTACTCTGAACTAATTCAGTAACAAAACAAAAAGGAAGGAGAGAACAAGGGAAGAAAAAGGAAAGAACCTAAATAGCCATCCTCAGAATCAAGATCTAAAATGTGTCATATTCCTACAATGAAATAAATCCAGCAATGAAAATGAACAAGCAACAGTATTCAATCAACAGGAAAAAAAATATGGCTTTCCTCTTAAATGCTAGGCCATATTTTACACACTAGGGATAAAACAGGATGAACCAAACAGGGAAAAAATAATAATAAAGTATTTTAAAAGGCAGGGAAATGCTATGATGAAAAGCAAAGGAAAAACAAAAAGATATGTTACAAGGTAAAAGACAATCAACAATTTTAAATATGACAGAGTGGCCTAATTGAAAAGGAAACCTTTGAACAAAAAGGAAATGATTGTGACAGAATAAATCATGCAGATCTCTGGGAGAAGAGCATTCCCAACAGAGGAAACCAAAGATGGCTCCCAATTTATTCAAGGAATAGCAAGGAGCCCAGTATGGCTTCAACTAAATCAGAGGAAGAACTGTAGGAAAAGAGATTAGATAGGTAAAGGGAAGGGCAGAAAGACCAGAAAGGTTATCCTTAGGACTCTGAAATTTACTCTGTATGAACTACAAAACCATTAGAGACTGGAGCAGAAAAGTGTCAAAATCTGACTCTAACTGTCATTCTAAAAACGGACTGAGGAGAGCAAAAGATAAAAACAGGGATAATGGTTAGAAGGTCCTTGCAGTAACTCAAGATGAGGGCAGTTTATATCAGGGTGGCAGCCATGGAGGTGAAAAAGGTGATTATATTTATTTTGAAGACAAGGCAAACATTTCCTAACATGTAATATATAACATATGAGAGACTGAGAGAGATCAAAGATGAAGATAGAAAAGACTGTAGAATGTGTAGGTTCGGGCAAGATGAAGATTCCATTTGGAGCCTGTTTAAACTGAAAATGTCTATTAGACATCCAAAAGGAAATGTTGTTAGGCAGCTGGATCATAAGGTCTGAAGTTCAGAGGGCGATATCAAGCCTTAAGCTATTGCTTTTTGAGTTCTCAGTATAAAATATAGAGATTGCATAAAATCATCAAAGAGTATAGAGAAAAATTCACTATACTTAAGGTGCTGCAAAGTTAAAACCTCTGAGAGAGCCAGATGCATGGCGCATGCCTGTAACCCCAGCGGCAGGAGAATCTCAAGTTCAAAGCCAGCCTCAGCAACAGTGAGGTGCTAAGCAACTCAGTGAGACCCTGTCTCTAAATAAAATGCAAAATAGAACTGGGGATGTGGTTCAGTGTTCCAGTGCCCCTGAATTCAATCCCTGGTACCAAAACAAAACAAAACAAAAAAACCTCTGAGAGGAGAGTCCAGCAAAGCAGAGAGAAAAAAGCAGCCAGGGAAGGAGGAAAATCAAAGAGTGCATGGTGTCCTGGAAATCAAGAAACAGGGAAAATAAGATGAACAAAGGTGGTATCACTGTTGACCTTAACAGCAGCAGACCTTGAAGTAGTTCTGGCAGAGTATTGAAAACTGAAGTTGGATAAGAATGGGGTTAAGAAAAAGTACAGAAAAAAAATTGGAAATAACGAAATGTTAAGCAAAATAATCTACAGAAGAATGCTACTATAGTCATGTTAATTTTCTTTTAAGAAAATTTCAGACTAAAATTTCAGATTCTCCTTGCAATAAGGAGAGATCAAACAAGAAGTTTCTGGATATTGGCAAGTAAGTAGTGAGGCCTTATAATTATCTGTTAAAATTATCTATTATGTTGTATATCAACTAATAAATCTGTCTTATATACTTGCTATTTACGTTATGGTTCAAAGTATTAAATTTTTTAAGATTACTAAGATCATGTGTGTGAAAAGACAAAAGATATATTTTTTATTGAATCATAAAAAGTATTTGAGAAATAATATTCCAAATTATAAGCAGATGAAATTTGAATAGAAAATCCAAAAGGCTATATGTACTAAATCTGGCCAGTAGGTGAACGTTTGAGCCTTTCTAATTTAATTAAAATCGGAATTTGTAAATCACATAAAATCTTAAGAATTAGAACAGATCCTAAGCCTTTTTCTTCATTTTTAACTCCACAGGACATATTTTTAGTACATGTGTTTGGCTCCCAGAATAAAAAATGCAGTACAGTATCAGCCAAGGGAATTCATTTTTTTCCTCCTCGATACATTTAGGTCTTAATTCTAAGATTTTCTAAAGATACTTCACAAACATAAAAAGTTTGGTCCTACAATAGTGATCTAAGTGTGAAAAGATGGTCACTTTTTTTCCTTGATAAATTTGTGAAAGAGTAAAGTCAACACTGCAAAAGAGGACTACAGCCTATGCCAACCACAAAGACACTCCCAATCCATGAATGAGTTGGCTGTGGACCATGAGCAATCAAATCCATCCACTGATTCAGTTGTTTTTTTAAGCAACTAGCAGCCAGGGTATGTGAGTTCTACTATTACTCCCTGTTCTATCAACAAGCAATTTACTTAACTCTATGAGCATCTGTTTCAGGAGATACCCATCTACTTGACCAGAGAATATGAGGAAAGATAAATGCTTCCATCCCAAAGGCAAGACAATAAAAAATAAGTTAAAACACATTTATAAATGAGTACTTCAAATCCATTCTACTCTCCCAAACTGCACACGTGCACATGTGGGTGGCTAAAGGTGATTTTATTATTTTAGGCCAAGCCAACAAAAAGAGCTAGAAACATTTCTAAGCCTATCCTAACTAGCCATGACCAAATCTCAAATCATTCTGAAAACACCATGGTAAATATTTGTTACAAGGAGTAACAAAAGCTATTTAATCATTCTCTGTCTGCTTAAACAAGTCAGGGATTGTTTTTAGTTTTTTTAGATCAAAAAGGAAGCATAAGGGACACTGATACTTTATAGTACAAATTTTGTGTGTGTGTGTGTGTGTGTGTGTGTCAATACTTAATTTCTGGTTTATCTGTTTAGTTAACCTCTGCTACTTACTGGGATTCATTCCAAGTCAACTAAATATATTACTAAAATTGGCATCTCTGCAATTGAGCTTAATTTCAAAGAGGCTCTGAAGTGGTCTGAAACCATTTTTTTAACATTCTGCACACAACTTTATGCTAAAAAGTAACAAGCATTCTACAAAAGCAGTAATTGATAGCAAAGATACAATTTTTGTTTATCTCCAAAACAATTTTTATTTCCTCCAAATGTATAATACTGGAAGAGAATAAGTGCTATGCTAAAGCCACATATTGTTTCAATAGTGTTGCAACTATTGACATAAAGGTAAACCTGATTCTTAAAGTTAGTTTGGGGGGTGTACTAAATATTCATATAAAAGCTATATGTTTCTGAGTTATTTACAAATGTTTTGTATTCTCTACAACTTTGGGCTGGAAATCCTGAAAATGTAAATAATAAATGCATATAAAACAAATGCCAAGATACACACACACATTATATGTGTGTGTGTTTGATTATATATATAATCAAACACACACACACACACACATGTTTCATGAAACTAGCAATATTTGTAACAGATTAAGAGATTTAAAGAATTACACATTTTTTTAAAACCTGGGATACACCTTAGATATTACTAAAAAGCCCTCAGAAATGATCCTAATCCAGCTCTCTCATTTGAAAGATGAGGAAACTGAGGCCCACAGAGGTTAAGCTAACCACAGCATCACAGATAATACCAAAATTCAGATTTTCTGACTTCCAAGTCCAGAGCTCTGAAAGAGCATTTGTCAATATACTTAAATAATTGTGGACACTCCAGGCAGCTCCTTCTGTTTAAAGAACTCCCTGAGGTTTACAAGAGTCACTCTCATCTTCTGTTAGCAAACACAATTTCTAGAAATAGCACCGGCAATAACCAATTTCTTACCCGGCAACGGGGTTTCCAAAATGATTCCTCAGGTGGATCTCTTTTCAGTACAAATCCCTTTAAATTAGTGCTTTGTTTGGACTGGGGCTTGGGGTTTGGGTTGATTTGGTTGATTTTGTCTGGGGGTGGGGGTTGTTTTTAATTTGCTCCCGGGAAGGTGGAGAGGGTAGGAAACTGAAGCCGAGATCTACAAAGTCCCAACAAACACATTTTTTTTTTCTTTTGTCATTTAAACCAACAAAACCTCCCTCGGGGACCCAGGGCTTACAGGTTCAAGTCGCAGTCCCTTCCGTTTCCAAAGTAGACAGGAGGCCTGGAAAAGAAGTTCCCCCGATGGCAGGTCCTCTCCGCTGCCCCGCAGGTGCGCGCCCAGGCTCCACCGGCAGCAACCAGCGGGCGCCCCATCCTGCTCGCCCCTGGGAGCAAGTCGCGCAGCGTCCCATGCACCCGCGCTCCCGCCGCTTGCTGCCCCTCGGAGACCCTGAAAGGCTGGCCTCGAACACCCAGTCCCCAAGTCCCCCGCGGGCTCTGCGCCCGTCACACGCGCCCCAACGCGCCGCTCCAGAGCTTCCCGTAGCAGGAAGGGTGACAGCAAGGGTGGAGGAGAGGGAAGCAGGGAATTGGGTCCTACCTTGATCCAGAAAGCCAATGCCTACCGAGGCAGAGATGGCGGCGGCTCCGGGGCTCGGGCACCTGCGTCGCTAGCGCTCTGCAGACCGTGGGCTCCGCTGGGCTGCCGTGTCCGAACTCCTCGCGGAAGGTGCGGGGAAACTCTCCGAAGAGGAGGGCGTGTGGGGAGGAGTGGCTGAGGAGGAGCGGGCTGGGCTGGGGAGCGGGGAGGGCGGAGCTGGGTGGTGGCTCCAGGGAGGGAGGAGCGGACCCCCGGAGCAGGGCGGGCGGCCGCGCAGGTGACCAGGGTGGCGGCAGGGAGTTGACCTCGGGAAGGAAGACCCCCTGCCGGCAGGAAGGCGGAGAACAGAGGCAACGCAGCGGGATCAAGGCGTCGCTAGTTCCTCGGGGAGTCAGCCACAGCCTCCCCCCTTGAACCAGTGGCTCTCAGACTTGAGCGTGGCACTGGGGTTCCCCTTTTCTCCCCCACCCCTAGGCTTCCAAGACCTCTGCTGCAGCAGGTGTAGGAAATGCCAACCATAAAGCTTTCAATAATTGGGAGGAGTGGGGAAAGAAAGTGAAATAGAAAAGACCGGAAGTTGTGAGGGAGTGAGTCTCCTGTCATCAAAGATGCTTCAGCCAACATCTTGGTCACCTGGTCAGGAAGGAGGAAGAGGGCACTCAAGCATCTGAGAGGAGAGGTGAACTAATGCCCACTTATTCTTCGATCCCGAAATTCAATAATATTTGACGTGGGGGGAAAATATTTTCTGGTTCAGTCTGATTCCAACACCAAAGAAAATAGACCTTTTTCTTGGTTTCTGCTCAAAATATTCACTTATTTATTTGTTTACTTATTTACTGCATTTCTATTGAGGGTATGTTATGTGCCAGACACTGTGCTAAATGCACTTTTATTATGTTCTTTCAACTAAGAGAGTGAGAGGTAGGAAGGCAGATAAGCAAGTATTCATAAAATTCCCAGTAGTGCTGAGTAATATGAGGAAAACCAACAGGGCGAAGTAGAAAGAATAAAGGGGAGTGGACATACTCTCCTTTGGGTGAATGATTAGTTTAAAGGCATCTAAAAATTAATTTAACCAACACTCTCAGAAAGGCACATCAGGCAATAAGAGAAAGTGAGTTGCATGAAGTGCCACAGAGATGGTAGGGCTGGAAGTAAGGTCTCCTGGCTCCCTGGTCTAGAAAACTGCCCACATGTGGAACTCTGTAAATGGGAGTTTGCCCCAGTAGAAATATCCTTTCAGGACCAGTACCACTTTTTTAGAAAGTGTGTGGCTCTCCAGACCACTATTGAAACCACTTTATTTAGAAATGTCGTATTTGTGCACCAGTTGTACTTCCTTGGGCATCTATGGTAGGTAAAAAAAATAACCAAGAAATTCTAACCTTTGGCTTTTCACCAAACATCAAAACACAGACAAAAGTCTCCATTGTATGGAAGCAAGAATTGGGGTATAGATATTGGTTTCTCCAAATTATTATGAAGCAAAACAACATCAAAAGAATCCTTAATTAAGTAATCTGTATGAACTAGCATATTAGTTTCCTTGGCTGCTGCAATAAATTACCACAAACTTAATGCTTAAAACAACAGATTTTATCTCTCAACATTCTGGGAGGCCAGAATCCAAAATCATGATGTCAGCAAAATCATGATGTCTGCACTCCTTCCCACAGCTCAAGGAGAAAATCTCTCCTCCCCTCTTCCAGTCTCAGGTGACTTAATTCTCTGCCTCCATCCAAACATGATGTGTTGTAGGGACACACTTGTCTTTGGATTTAGGGACCATCCTGATAACCCAGGATGATCTCATTTCAAGATCCTAACATCCTATACAAATATTTCTGTAGGTAATGCAATACCAAGTGCCCACTGTCCCTCACATTCTGAGTCAGGGGCTCTAGAGATCATTTACATTCTAGGCGATGGGACACTTTTGAATCTCATTCCCTCTGGCACAATGCTTGATGCTTATCTCAGGCCTGATAAAAAGTTGTAAATGAGTAAAAATAAGTCACTACCAACCCACTAGGCAATTATTAGCACGGTGAAAAACATTTCTATAATACAAAAATAGAATTATGAGAGCAAAACAGATTAGCACCCTGACTCATTCAGTATTTTCTTGAGTGAAGGAAAAAATCCCTAAAAGGAAATCTTTGATTTAAAAAAGAAATTAATGAGCTCACCTATCTGCTCTTTTGAAAAAAAATCAATGAAATGCCTATTTACACAGATACAAATCCTGCTGGGGACAATCAATCATGACTGAACTTACAGTTGCTTAAAGTGAATATTTTATCCAAGTATTTTGGTTGTTAACTTCAAAAACATAAACATTGCCCAATTATCAAGTTGATAATATTGATGCATCACTTCCTGAAACCCTTTAGAGTGCTTTCAATGATTCTACTCTCTCTAGGTTCCCCTCTTTGCTCTATGACTTCCCTTCTTACTCTTTCACTCTTTTGATTTGGAATAATCAACCAGCATGTTATTAACTACCAGGCTGAATCGAATTCACGGACTTACTTGGTCACAGGCCCATCTGTGAACCAGTCGTATGGTCAGTGAGTTGGAATATGATGACAGAACAGGCGTGAGTCACCTGTGTACTCCTGGAAAACAGGAGACAGAAAAGATATCATTTCACCCTAATCAAATAAATGAGGGTGAGTGGTATCCCAAAATAAAATTAGTGTGCTATTCCTGAGGGGCATGTAGGCCCCAGAAGGCATATATATCCACTACGATAGAAATTCAGAGAGGTATTGTTGAACTGACTGTAGTTTTAATTAAAACAGTGCATTGGTGCCCTAAAAATTTTCTGGAATTATTTTCAAAATAAAATAAGAACACTTGATTATGTGTATAGTCACCACACAAATCTTAACAATTTGCACTGGAGGCAATATAGGCAAGCACATGGGCTCTGGAGTCTAATTGCCTGAGTTTTTATGCACAGTTACTGTGAGCCCTTGAATACGTTCCTTACTGGTTATTTCCTTCTTTTTTTGGAAAAAATAATAATCACAATAATCACCTCTCTGAACTATCATGTAAGTAATGCAATAATAACTGTGCCTAAAAAATAATAGTTACCTAGTAATCTATGGTTTGCCTATTATTTTCTCATTTAGTCTTCATAACATCCTAGAAAACATTTTATGTAGATATTCTTTGACCATTAATTCTTCCCTTCATAGAGGCCAATAAAATAATCAGTATCTATTTACCTTATGTATCTTTCACCTTCCGTATTGAAAAACACCTGGGCTCTGGAATGATGTTGTCAGATTTTTAGAGGAAAGAATATTCAAAGCATGTGGAATATGACAGAGAACGAAAAATGGAGGGCTTTATTTGGCAGAAATATCTGTTAGGCCTGGGCGCCATGGCACACACCTGTAATCCCAGCAGCTCAGGAGGCTGAGACAGGAGAATTGAGAGTTCAAAGCCAGCCTCAGCAAAAGTGAGGCACTAAGCACTCAACATTCTGGGAGGCCAGAAGTCCAAAATCATGATGTCAGCAAGTCTGCACTCCTTCCCACAGCTCAAGGAGAAAATCTTTCCTCCTCTCAGTGAGACCTTGTCTCTAAATAAAATACAAAATAGGGCTGGTGATGTGGCTCAGTGGTTGAGCGCCCCTGAGTTCACTCCCCCATATCACTCTCCCCAAAAAGGAAGGAAAGAGAGAGAAATAAATAAATAAATAAATAAATAAATAAATAAATATCTGTTAGGACTAGTGCTTCTCAAAGTTCAAAATGCAAATGAATCCACCTAGGAAGCTTTGTGGCACAAATTTTGATTTAGGAAAGCTTCAGTGAGCACTGGAGTCTGCGTTTCTAAAAAGCTCCAGGGTAAGGCCAATGTTGCTAGTCTTTGGCAAGGCAACAGACTATTTAAACAACGCTAATGCCATTTTCAGCAAAAAGAAATCTATGTTTAATGTACATGACACTTTCTTAAGTCCTTGTCAGGAAATCATTTTCAACTTATAAAGCTGTAACTGCTAACTGAAGAACTATTTTGTTTAATGAGTCCATTATATACAAATATTTCTTTCTTGAGTCTTAACAAATTTCTGAGAATAAAGCCCTGTAAAGCCTGAATTTCCCATGAAAATAAATGGGTTGTATGTGAGGAGACAATTTTGGTTAGTGGAGAAATATGATACAGGACACTGTGATGGTCTTTTTAATGTGTCAACATGACTAGGCTACAGCTCACAGTTATGCAAGCAGACATCAATATGTGTGTTACTATGAAGGCATTTTTATGTGTGATTAAAGCCCATAATCAATTGATTATGACTAAGAGAGATCATCCTAGATAATTGGAGTGGGCCTAATTCAGTCAGGCCTTCCAGTCAGATGAAAGGCCTAGAAAACAGAGCTGAGTGTTACAAGGGGAAGGAGGAGTGCTACAAGGAGGGAAGGGGTAATTGGAGAGGGAAAAGCAGAAAGGGAAGATGTCTACCTGTGAATAAAAGCTTTAGCCTATGGCTGAGGATTCCAGCTTGCCTTTCCTAGTAGTCCACTTTATGATTATGGGCTTGGTTTGCCATTTCCTACAATCAAATAAATCAATTCCTTATTATAAATTTGTCACTATATAGCTCCTATCAGTTCAGCTTTTCTGGTACAGATTTTGGCAGAGAAAACACATTACCTTAGCAAATATCTAAATCATCTTAAACAACTTATTGGTAGAAATGTGGACATCAAAGTGGTTAGTGATAAGGATTCAGAAGACAAAGAGGATCATGTTACTGGAAACTTGAGGAAGGGTGATGCTTGTTATATAGTGGTAGGAAGCTTAGCAAAATCACACCCTCCAGTTATGTGGGAAGCAGAACTTGTAAATAATACAACTGAGTGTGTAGGTGAGGAGATTTCCAAGCAAAGTGTTGAAGATGCCTCCCAGCTTCTTGCTGCTTATAGTAAAATGTGAAAGGAACAAGAGAAATTAGGGAAATGGTTGTTAAACAAAAAGGGTCCACAACTCAATGATTTAAAGTTCTCAGTTAAGAGATTCACTATTGAGAAAGTATATTGTAAAGAAAAAGCTGAGTGTGTCTGATGAAACTTCTCCTAATACCTCAGAAAGATTACTACAAATTGAGAGTATTCAGTCATACAAACAACTCT